CGGGAGCACGGGGCCGAATCCCAGAGGATTTGGGAAGGGTCCCCGTGCCCTCAGCAGCACCAGCACCCCGGGGTGATGCTGCAGGGAGGGAGGAGGGCTCGGGGTGGATCCCAGCGCAGCGGGAGGGGCGGGAATGGCAGCGCTCCCGTTGGTGGCTGTTGGGAGATAAGGGGGCCGAGCCCGGGGCGTTCTGGCAGCTCTGGGTGTTTGCTCAATGCTGAATAAGGACATTTTTGCAGGCATGAGCCGGGGGTGACTCAGTGCGCGCTGTTGCTCAGGGTTCAGAGGGCACTGCCTCTCCTCTTCCGCGGCTTTATCGGAGCGGCGGCACCTCACAAATTCCGGCCTTAAAACAACAACCAGCGGGGCGTTGCAACAGCTCCGGGGTGACTTATCCTGCCTCCTCCTCCCCCACGGGGCTTCTCCCTCCACCTCGATTGCAGGAAACCAAACCTTCCCTTCCCCCCCTCCTTCCCCCCCCGGCGCTTTGACGGGGCTTGTCCCGCACGCTGGTGTCACTGGAGGGTGGGAATGCACCGGGAATTCTGGCTGGGTGTAAACACCAGGGGGTTGCCATGGTTTGGTGACATACACCCCAAAACAGGGAAAAAACTCTGGATATCCCCCCCGCTTCCCTCCTGAGATCTGTGTCACAGGCAGCAGATCTTTGAGGAGACAAATTGGGTCTTGTTCTGTTTTTCTTTAAATTCATGCAAGGCTGAATTCCTGATTCCCAGCATGGAATTTGGGGTTTCTGGGGAAGGGAACAGTAAATCTCCTGTGGCTTTGGAAAGAGAAAGGGATACTTTGGTGGCTTTTAGAGGCTTTAAGGTTGAAACAGGCCCGGTCAAAAGCAGTCTGGAAAATGTTCAGAATCCCAGTGTTTGAAACTTTTGGGGAATAAAAACAGGTGACTGTCAGGTGCTGGGATCTGAGGCAGCTGAGCAGCCAGTCCTGAGTGCTGGGGTTTGACTTGGGTGAGCAGCATTCCATGGAGATGTCTGCTCTTCCCATAGGAGTTCTCCCAGATCCGATCCCAAGGCTGGGACTGCTGGGATGCCCATCCCACGTTCCAGCCTCTGGACTGCTGCTCACCAGCTTGTCCTCTTGCCTTTGGGTAACCTGGCAGGGAAAAAAACTTCGGGATGAATCTGCAGATGGCTGTGGAAGAATCCAGAGGCATTTCAGTTTTCCTGCTCTGTTTTTTTTCCAGTGGAAGGGGAAGGATTTAGGGATTTGTCACAGGAGTTTGGGATGGACCTTGGTGTGGTGGAGGCAATCCCTCAGCTGGGGAGGATGATGCCAGGGTAGGGATCAGGGTTCTGGTTTGGAACTGAGGTTTGAAGTCTCTGCCAGCCTAAAAGCTGGACCAGTAAAGCCAGACTGGAAACAGCCCCTGGATGGGACTGCTTGAAAACTCCCAGGGAACAGCATTGAACGCCGTGTAGGAACAGCTCCATGGGCAGGACAGGTCCATCCTGCCTTGGGAAAACGCCAGCTTGGACCAGGCTTGGAGCGACCTGGGATAGTGGGAAGTTCCACCCATGCAGGGGTTGGAACTGGCTGAGCCTGAAGGTCCCTCCGACCCAAACCATTCCATGATTCTTGCTCTTTTGGACCTTTGGGGTGCAGGTCGAGAGTGACTTTGGAACCTGGGGCCTCAAATTCCTTTGCACTTGAAATCCCTGGGCTGCTGGACCAGCTCCCTTTAATTCCTTGGCTCTGACATTGGAAACATGGTTTTGTTTCTCTGGGTATTTCGTGGAAATCCAGTTGTGGTGATCAACCCCTGCTTGTGGCTTTTGTCTCCCCCTCTCTCCAGAAGTAAAATTCCCCAGTGTTTGTCCCCCTGCCACAACTCTTGCCGTGTTTTACCCTTCCCCCTGGTGCTGCTCTAGCACAGTATTCCCCCAGATCCCCTGGATGGGAACCCATCCTCCCACCTGGGCAATCCTGACATCCCTTTCATTTCCCCACTTCATTTGCGTCTGAAGCTCCTCTTGCTGCTGGCTAATGGAGTGTCCCAGGGCTGCACCCACCAGAGCTAAAAGGCTGGTGTGGAAATTCGTGTTCCACGTGCCCTTCCAGCCAGGCCCTCGCTTTGTGTCCGTTAATCCCGGCGCGTGCTGCTCCGGCCGGATTATGGGCTGGATAATGGCCTTGGAGAACTGCTGAGAGGGGCAGATCCTGCCCGGATAAAACACCCCAGGATCGTGTGGGGAGCCACCAGAGCCTGGCATTTCTCTTCCAAACATCCGTGGGAGCCGGAGGGCCCCGGTTGGGTGGGTTTCCTTGGCTTTGTGAGCCTGGAAAATCCATCAGCTGGGGGAAGGATTGCTTGGAGCAGCTTCCAAGTGCCTGGGAGAGCAGCGGGAGCTGCGGGGAGATGGAGGGAGCTCATTGTGCTGCACCCTCTGCCTGTGGGGATCTTTGTCCCCAGGGAAGGGTAACCTGGATGTGGGGCTGGGAGCCGTTGTGGGTGTGGAGCTGGAAACGCAGGCGGAGCCCTTTGGGAGCAGTGGGAACAGGGACAATGGACCGTGGCGCTCCCTGTGCCATCCCCAGCCGGAGAGGAAGGAGCCCTCCCGTGTCAAGGCTGTTCCTGGGAGCCTTTGAAGGCCACTCCCACATCCTCCAGAGGGCCTGGACTTTGAGCAGGTCCCTTTGATGTCCCCGTGTCCTCCACATACCTGAGGCCTGAAGTCACGAAGCTTCCGGCGCCTTCCGGCCCCGCTCGGCTCCCTGGGGACCGTCCTGCCCTTCCCCGGGACCTTGGCAGCTCCTCTGCCCTGCTTTAGGGATAAACACTGTTAGCTCTGCAGTTTTCCAGGTGTTTTGCTGGAACACCAGGCCCCTGGAGATGCTCCCGGTGCTCCCGTTTGCAGGGAGCATCCGCAGGTATCCTGGGGGTGACCGGCAGTGACCGGGCTGTGCGGCTGGAAGAGGCTTTGAGAGGCCAACGCTTCTGTGACTTGTCAAATTCCGCCTTTTTCTGAGCTGCAGAACCGAAACTCGGCTCATTTACATCCGGACAATGGCCCCTAACAGGCAAAGCTTCCTGAAAAACCGGGGCTGGCCCTGCCCTGGGCTGTTTGACTCACTTGGGAACCATCTCCCTGCTCAGCCGGGGTTGAGGTGCAGGTCACAGCAGTGCCTTTCCTCAGTGCACCATCCCAGACCTTTCTGAGTGATGTGCCAAGGTTTCTCCATCCTGGAATTGCTTCAGCTGCCCCTTTTTATTTCAAAATCACCCGTTTTAAACCCAGCTCCTTTGTGGCATCCCCGAGGGAATCACCTGGTGGAAACGTTTCTGGCAGTTCCATTTGGGATGCCAAGCTTGGGAGAACAACTTCAGGCACTCCCAGGGAAATACTGGGGCTGGAAACCCGCTGGTGAGGGTGAATTGCACACACAGCAAGCCAGGAAAACTGGAATGTGGGAACAAAGAGTAACCACAGGTGACCCTCTCTGGCACTCTTGTCCTCACAGAGACCTTGGTACAGCTCTGGCCACACTCTCTACGTGACCTAGCACGTGAATGGTCTCCTGCACAGCTTTATTCCCATCTTTCCCTCGTATCCCTGTCCCTGAGAGCAGCAGAGTGCTCTGTCCCTCGGGAAAGGTTCAGGGACACCGTGGCCATCCTGCTGTGTCAGGCCAGGGGCTGCTTTTTGCCAGGCTCTTCCCACTCACCTCCTGGAACCCGTGGAATTCTTCTCTCAGCTGTAACATCCCAGAATAGCTGCTCTGCTTTCTTTTAAAAATAGTCCGTTCCGTGTCATTACCTGCTAAAAATGTGTCCCCGAGTCCCGTGGGGACATTGGAGGGGACAGAGGGTCTGTCGGCCTTTTCAGGAGAGGGGACGGTGCCACCGTGGCCATGTGCCCTGGAGCTGCCCCATTCCTGCAGCTGGGCAGCCTGCCACGGATTTGGGATGATGTGTTCAGGAATGTTTGGAAAGAGTGACTGTGGAGGTGGAGGAATGTGCCCGGTGCTGGTGACTGACGTGGGAAGGAGGATGCTCCCAGTCAGCCCGGGCTGGACAGGCTTTGCCTTTTCCTGGGAAGCAATTCCTACACATCCAGGGAGGGACACAGCACCTCTGGCTCCTGGGACAGACAGGGATTGGATTTTTGCAGTGGACTGGGGCTGATTTCTTGACTTAAAAGGATCTGATCCTTGGCCGCCCTTGCCGAGGGGCTCTTGGCACTGGAGCTGCTCCTGCTCCGAGAGGTTGAGGATCATAAAATCCCGGATGGTTGGGGTTGGGAGGACCTTAAAGCTCATCCAGTGCCACCCCTGCCATGGGCAGGGACACCTCCCACCAGCCCAGGTTGCTCCAATTCCCATCCAACCTGGCCTTGGACACTTCCAGGGCTGGGGCAGCCACAGCTTCTCTGGGCAGCCTGTGCCAGGGCCTGCCCACCCTCCCAGGGAGGAATTCCTTCCCAATGTCCCATCTATCCCTGCCCTCTGGCAGTGGGAAGCCATTCCCTTGTCCTGTCCCTCCATCCCTTGTCCATGGGAGTGCCTTCATTGACACCCAGAGTTCTGGGATTAATCCTGCAGAAATGGGGTTCAGCGTGTGCTGCCCTTGTGAGCTCCCAGATATCTGCCACGGTGCCTTGGAATTGCTATTCCTTCCCCCTCCTTCCTTGGGGAGAGCAGTCAGTAGGTATTTGAGGTAATTATTGCTTTTATTCCCTGCTAAGGCAATAATTTGAAGGGATATGGTGGAAAACCAGCAATTTCCTGCCAGTGAGTGACAGATGTTTTGAGATGTGCTCTCAGTCTCCTACTAATTACGCTGACACAAATTGGCAGGAGTTTTCTTCCCAGGCTCCCAGCTCTAATTTTGCCTCTTTTTTTCCCCCCTTTATTTTCATTTTTTGGCGAGGTGGAGTCTCCGTGTTGCGACACTCGGGGAGGAGACGCTGCTGAGTCGGGGGCTGCTGTTCAGACAGGGCTCTCCTAACCTTGCCCTTCTCCCTCCCTGCCAGGTTCCTACCCCTCCCCCAAGGCTGGGGCCACCCTGGTGGTCTACAAGGACCTGCTGGTGCTTTTTGGGGGGTGGACACGGCCCAGCCCTTATCCCCTGCACCAGCCCGAGAGGTTCTTCGATGAGATCCACACGTACTCACCCTCCAAAAACTGGTAAGGGCGGGCTTTGACCCTGGAACACTGTGCCTGGAGTGCAGCTGGGGGAGCCCCTGGGAAGCCGGGCACGGGCCTGGATGCCCAGGGCTGTCTCTAAAGCTCTGTCTGAAACAAAAGCAAAGCCACAACCCAACTGGAGCCAAGGATGTGACACTCTCAAGTACCTCCTGGCTGCTGGTTCTTCCAGGTGGCTCTTGATTTGTACCTAAAACATTCCAAGGCTCCCTGAGCATCCCCATCCAGGTTTCCCACCGGGGTGTTTCAATGTTTAGTCACCTTGGCTGTGAGTAGGGAGGTGGCTCTGAGAAAAGGGAGAAAGCAGATTTCTCCATCATTTTATAAATCCCTGCCTCTACAGCTCCTGGATGGAGCCTCCAGTGCCCATGGAGCTGGCAGGAATTGTCCTCTTCCCTTTCAACACCATTCAGCTGATTTTAGCCCCAGCTTTCCCACTCACCCTGTGTGTGAGAAAGCAGCAGGGGCTGTATCAGCGACATCATTCCTGCTCCTCTCCACCGAGCACTTTCCATCCTCCCAGGTATCAATTATTCCGGGCACTTTGGTCATTACAGCTCTGTAATTAAACTCCCTGGAAAGAATTCGAGGCAAACTTAATTGGAAGGGGGGATATTCCCACCTTGGCCACGGGACTGGCCCATGCCTTAAAAATGTTTGGCACATTGGATTTCTGATTAGTTTTATTATTGTTCGGACACTGGGAGGTTTTCCCTGTGGTTTTCCTCTGTAACGTGTTCATCCATTGTTTTCCCTTCCCTCCCAATGGTGAACGTCTCCCTGCCTCTTTCCCAGGTGGAATTGCATCATGACCACCCACGGCCCCCCTCCCATGGCAGGACACTCCTCCTGCGTCATCGAAGACAAGATGATTGTGTTTGGGGGATCTCTTGGATCTCGGCAGATGTAAGTCGGGATGTGCTGGGATAGCTCCTGGTGTTTCAGAAGGAATTCTCCTCTGGAGAATTCCCCCCACGTGCCCCGAGGCTGTGCCCTGAGCAGAGCCCCGAGGCCCTGGCGGTGTCCCAGCCCTGTTGTCTCGTCCCTGCAGGAGCAACGACGTCTGGGTGCTGGATCTGGAGCAGTGGGCCTGGTCCAAGCCCAACATCTCCGGGCCCAGCCCTCACCCACGTGGGGGCCAGTCTCAGGTGAGGGAACCGGGCTCAGCTTCCCCTGCAGCTCCCAGGCAGCTCTGCAGGGCTCATTCCCAGGTTATCCGGGATCCCTTGCCCGCCGGGCCCTCTCTTTCCTTCGCCATCTGCTCCCGATCTCCCCGCGTGACTCAGAGCTCTGGGGAACATTTGTAGGGCACAAATCGCTGCTCTAACCCCAGGCTGGGCCCTGGGGCAGCTCAGATCAGGGCAGAGTTAGCACAGGCTGGTTTGGCTCGGGGCCCTTGTGGTTGCTGCGCTCTCCCGATCCCGGGATCGAGTGGCTCCGGATTGTTCCCGCTCCGAGCACGGGGCTGGCAGTGCCTGCCTTATTGCCTGCCCGGGGCAGGGAGCTTGTGGCTGTCACCTGGCTTGGTACAGGTGTCTCCATCCCTGCCTTCCCAGTGATTCCCAGTGTGGCTCATGCCACCAGGGCACCCAGCAGAGATGGGTTGTGCTCCAACGTGCCTCATCCACCAGGAAGAGGGCCCCAGGGAATATCTCGCCCACCACCAGCACTCCCAGACACTGCTGCCAGCACCTGCCTCCCAAACAATCCTCCCACCTTCCCACTCCTCTGGAGAGGGCTGTTGAGGCCCCCATGCCTTGGCTCAGCTTTGGGAAGGGAGATTTCTCTCCTGGGTGAGAGGAACTGGTTTGGGACAGGCCCGTGGGATGAACCCTCTGCCCCAGGCCCGGCAGAACCGGCTCTCCATCCCAGCTCCAGAGCTCATCCCGGGGCAGGCAGGATCCAGCAGTGTCTGTGCAGCTGAGAACCTGCCTCTGTCTGCCCTGGGAGGCCTGGCCAGCAACCTGACACTCCTCTTTGCCCCTGCAGATCGTCATCGACAACGAAACCATCCTCATCCTGGGGGGCTGCGGTGGCCCCAACGCTGTGAGTACCCCGGGGGGCAGGGCCGTGGCACTGTGAGCCCTGGGGGCTGCATTTGGGAGGGGGGGGCACCCAGGTGGCATTTTATCCCTCAAATCCGGGCGCCCACGCGGGAGATTTTCCAGAGAAGCTGTTTAGGTGTTGCTAGAGCTGCTTTAATTAAGGAAAAAAACCCCCAGGCATTCTCTGAGCAGCTCACTGAGCCTTGGAAGGATGAGCCCTGATTTTAGGCTGGGACAGGAGATGGAAATGAAGGGGTTTATCCACGGCCGTAGTGAGGTGCGGTCACTCCTGGGCAGTCGGCTCCTGATTTGGGTCACAGGAACAAGGCACTGCTCCCACCACCATCCTGGTGGAATGATGTCCACAGCAAAGGGGGCTGCTGAATCCCAGCCTGGGCTCCTCAATCCCAGCCTGGGCTCCTGAATCTGAACTTGGGCTCCTCAGTGTCCTCCCTTCCCTCCCTCCCAGCTCTTCAAGGACGCCTGGTTGCTGCACATGCAGGCCAACCCCTGGACGTGGCAGCCGCTCAAGGTGGAGAACGAGGACCACGGAGCGCCAGAGCTGTGGTGCCATCCTGCCTGCAGGGTACGGGCACAGTGGGGCCTGCCCCAACCCACCCCACCCACCCCCTCATCCTGCTGCCCTTGGGGAACATTCCCTGGCCATGGGAACAAAGCACTGCTCCCACCCACCCTCATCCTTGGGGGGTGATCTCAGCAGCAAAGGGAGCTCCTAAATCCCAGCCTGGGCTCCTAAATCTGAACTCGGGCTCCTAACTCTGAACCCGGGCTCCTGAATCCCAACCTGGACTCCTAAATCTCAATTTGGGCTCTTGAATCCCAACCCAGACTCCTAAATCCCAACCCAAACCCCTGAATCTCAACCTGGGCTCCTGAATCCCCATCTGGGTTCCTAAATCCCAACCCAGGCTCCTAAATCCTCACCTAGGTTCCTAAATCCCCACCCAGGCTCCTGAATCCCAACCCCGGCTCCTCAATCCCAACCTGGGTTCCTGAATCCCGGCGCGAGCTCCCTGCCCCGCACGCTGCCCCCATCCCCCCCGATGTGGCGGTGTGGGTGACGCGGTGTCCTCTCTCCCGCAGGTGGGGCAGTGTGTGGTGGTGTTCAGCCAAGCCCCCAGCGGGCGGGCCCCGCTCAGCCCCAGCCTCAACTCACGCCCGTCGCCCATCAGCGCCACGCCGCCCGCGCTGGTGCCGGAGCCGCGGGAGTACCGCTCGCAGTCCCCGGTGAGGAGCACGGACGAGGCTCCCTGCGTGAACGGCCGCTGGGGCACCCTGCGCCCGCGGGCACAGCGGCACACGCCGGCGGGGTCGCGGGAGGGCAGCCTGTCCCCGGCCAGGGGGGACAGCTCCCCCGTGCTCAACGGGGACAGCGCGTCCCCCGGCGCCTCCCTGGACAGCCCGGTGCAGGCGCTGTCCCCCGGCACCCCCTCGGCCGCCGAGAGCCTCGAGCTGCGCGTGGGGCCGGCGCCGGGGCCGCGCCGGGGGTCGCTGCCGGAGCACAAGGAGCTGCGGCTGGGCGCGGAGCTGGGCTGGGAGCAGAGGCCCGCGGCGCTGCTGTGCCAGCTGGACGGCGCGGAGGGCAGGACGGGCGTGCGCAACCCCCCCGAGCACACCAACGGCCTGCACACCCCCCCGCACGTGCCCGGCTCCCTGCCCGTGTCCCCCGGCGCGCTGCGACGCAGCCTCGAGGCCGTCAAGGCCTTGGCCTCCAAAGCCGCCTCGGCCTCCTCGGCGCTGAGTCCCCCCCCGGCGTCGTCCCCCGGCTCCCCCGGCGCAGAGCCGGGCGCGGCCGCGCGGGCGGGCGCGGCCCAGGGAGACGGGCACTCCCTGCCGCCCATCGCCCGGCGCCTCGGCCACCACCCGCCCCAGTCCCTGAACGTGGGCAAGCCCCTGTACCAGAGCATGAACTGCAAGCCCATGCAGATGTACGTGCTGGACATTAAGGACACCAAGGAGCAGGGCAGGGTCAAGTGGAAAGTGTTCAACAGCAGCTCCGTGGTGGGACCCCCCGAGACCAGCTTACACACGGTGGTGCAGGGCAGGGGGGAGCTCATCATCTTCGGCGGCCTCATGGACAGGAAACAGAACGTCAAATACTACCCCAAAACAAATGCCTTGTACTTTGTGCGAGCGAAGAGATAATGCGGCCCCAGCCCGCCGCCATCCCCGTCCTGCCCCTTCCCGCGGCTCCTCCCGCTCCTTCCCGGCCCTCAGCCCGTCACACAGCGACCAAACTGTGAATTAGGGAGCAGGAAACCAATAAAAGTGCAAGCAAAGCCTCCGGCGCTGCCCAGTCAGACCCCAGGGAAGCCAGTGGTGGAAGGACCCCGAGGATTCGGGGGGGGGATGGAATTCTGCCATCCAGGACCCCCACGAGGTTGATCTTCCCGGAGTTTGGGAGGCTTCGTCCTCCGGAACCCCTGCAGGGCTCCTCGGGGGTTTTGAGGGAGCCTGGGTTTGTAGGAGCCACCCCAGGCCCGGCAGGCAGGAGGAGGGAGCCGGGTGAACCCCCTGCCCGGCTCCAGCAGGAGAAGGGCAGCAATATCCCTGGGAATGCCGGGAGATCCTGCTCCACACAAACATGATGCCTTTTTTATTTGCCTCACCTGCCGCTCTCGCCCCTGTCCTTGGGCAGGGCCAAAACGAGGAGGAAAGGACAGGAATTCGTGTCAGAATGCCAAAAATACTGATTGTTCCCATCCCTCCTTTCCCTGCCGTGCTGGATCAGCCTTCGGGATCGGCCCTGATCCCGTCTGATCCCCTAAAAACCCACTTATCTCCCCAAAACGGAGACATTTGGCTGCCAGTTCCCCCCTGGACTTCAAGGATTCATTTCACCCGACATCCCAAACCCATTCCAGGCCAAACCAGCCCCTTGGAGCCTGGGAACAGGGTGGGTTTTCCAGGGCAAAGGATGGATATTGGTGAATTTGAGGGCGTGAGCAGCTTCTGCAGCAACTTCACCTCATCTTTGCACGTGCCTCCTTCCACAAGGATTCCATTCAAATCCCAAGGGATTGAACCTGTGCGGTCCCTCTGGGACAACCCCCCTCCTTCCCTTTGCCCTCCAGGGGGTGGGAAAAACAGGTGGATTCTGCCAGGTTTTGGTCAACAACCTCCGGCACCCGGAAAACAGGAAGCCCTCCCCGAGCCGGCAGCGCCATGACGTGGTCCCTCCTTCCCAGGATTTTCCTTTCCCTCCATTCCCACTGAGCTTTTTGCCGGTCAGAGCCTTAAAATCCCACCCCAGCCGTGTGGGGATGGGGAGGGATTTGCTTCACCCTGTTGCCACCTCTGTAAATAAACTCCTGGTCCGACCCGACCTCTCTCCCATCCATCCCAAAATGGTTTGTCCCAAGGGAAAAGCAAAAATTGTCCCCATTCCAAAAAAAAAAAAAAAAAAAAAAAACAAACAGAAACCTCAGGAGCACCAAGGATGAGCTGTGAAATATTCCCTCTGGGAAGGCGCTCGGGGCTTCGGCAGCAATTCCCAACATCCCCCCCCCACCCTTTGCATGTTTTTGGTCATCCATCCCAAAAAAAAAAAACCGGGATGGACGGAGCGTTGATTCCTTCCCACTCGGAGCACCCCTGGAGGGGTGTTCTCCCGACAGTTTACATCCCGAAAATCCCACCACCGAGCCGGGGGGGTCGTCCCCGCTCCACCCCCGCCGGTGAAACGCATGTTGTGTGCCCTTCCCGAGGAATTCCATCCCGAACTTCGATCCCTGGATCCCCCCGGGAGCCGCTGGTGCTGTGAGCGAGG